TTTTTTTTTTCCTATGGCTTAATGTTTCTCTCCTGTGAGTTCTTTGACAATGCATTGCACTCTACCTCTGATATTAGAGCAATGCCACTTTGAACAGATAATGCCCACAACATATGACAGAGTTTAAGTCAGTTTCTAAACAGCAAAAGAAAATGATCAATTTCATTACAGGTAATATTTTGTCATTTTTGCCATCTAGTTAGTCTTAAAACTTAAAATGTTCTGAGAATACAACCAGAAATTAAAGGGGGAAAGTGTAAATAAAGAATTAAAATAGGATCTAAAGCCTGTAATTGAATGTTTAAATCCACTTCAAGTCACGAGTATTTACTCTCATCTACTATTTTACTGATCTGAATAAACACAGAAATTTTTTTTCCCAAAAGCCACTAGATATGCCCTAATTGATAAATGGTTAAAGGATATGAACAGGCAGTATTCAGAAAAAGAAATCAAAGCTATCAACAGTCACATAAAAATGCTCTAAATTACTACTGATCAGAGAAATACAAATTAAAATAATTCTGGGGTACTACCTCACATTTATCAGGTTGGCTAACATGATAGAAAAGGAAAATGATAAATGTAGGAGGGGATGTGGGAAAATTGGGACACTAATGCATTGGTGGTGGAGTTGTAAATTGAGCCAACCATTCTGGAGAACAATTTGGAACTTTATCCAAAGAGCTAAAAAAACAAACAAACATGCATAACCTATAACTTAGTAATACCACCACTAGATCTGTATCCCAAAGAGATGAAAGAAAAAGGAAAAGAATCTACAGGTATAAAAATATTCACAGCAGCTCTTCTAAACTTCATTTCAAAAAACTCAGAAACTAAGCAGGCCACAGAGTTCTAAAAAATATTGTCAGCTCCAGAAAGATGAAAGGCGCTCACAAATTAAGCTCCAGTGATGGAGTTGTAATCAATTCCAAGGAGGAAAAAAATGGAAGGTGTCTAAAAGACCAATCGATATGGCTACAGAAAGTTCATCAACAAATCAGCTTTCAAAAGGACAAAGCAAAAACATGAATGTGAGAGCATACATGCGAGTGAAAATGGATACAAAAGAGGAATAAAGTCTTTTAAGAAGAGGATCAGGGAAGCTTAAGCCCACCAAGAGGCATGACTTAGAAGAAATTCTACTTCAAAACTATACTCAGTCTGTGACCCCATCACTGTGAGTATTCCCTCCAGGGCCAAAGGCTGTAAGCTGACTGTGTCTGCTCATTTACTCTCTATACTTTCCGGGTAGGTTGCACCCAACATGCTGGAAACCTTACTTTTTCAGGGCACCTACTAATGGAGTACCTGAGTTACACACCTGTCATCTCTCTCATTCCATGTGACTGTCTGCTTCCTCTTCCAGTTTTGTACTTCCTAAAACATATCCTTATAGTTCCTGCATGTGGGTTATTACTGAATAATTTAATAATTACTGAATAATACTGAAAATATTACTGAATAACATTTGCACCTGTAAGGCATCAAAAACTGATGTTCCAAGATTTACAATCACAGAACATTTATGTTGAAAAGACAGGTCTTTATACCAAAGAGCAGCTTGGCATCATTAAAAACACTACCCAATTTACAAAAAACTAAATCAAATCTAATCTCTCTTTCCTATTTAATTCCCGACCCAAGTCCCTGCCCATCTACAGTGCCTATCCCAAATATACACACTGATATACAGATATAGTGAATCAGCCATCCAGTTGCATTTCATAATCAAGACAAAACACATTTTTACACATCCAGTTTTTTTTAATATGGATTACTAGGTCAATTATCTTTTCAGTAATCACTTATCTCACCAAAGAAGCACTGTAATATTAAATAATATATCATCTTTAAACATAGACAATGATATTCATTTTCATGAAAATAAGAAAATAGGAAGTCCATTTTATTATTTATGAGGTTGTGTGGTGCTTACCATGTCCACAATCTTTCAACTCTTGTCTAGAAGAAAGTACTTATAATACATAGGTGAGAAGACAGAATATATAGGGGCAACTAGGGGGTACAATGGATAGAGTGCTGGGCCTGGAGCCAGAAAGACTCGTCTTCCTCAGTTCAAATCTGGCCTCAAACACTTACTACCTGTGTGACCCTGTCAAGCCACTTAACCCCATTTGCCTCAGTTTCCTCATCTGTAAAATGAGCTGGAAAAGGAAATGACAAACCACTCCAGTATCTTTGCCAAAAAAAAACCCCAAATGGGGTCTCAAAGAGTTGGACACAAATGAAAAATAACTGAACTGGAGAAGCTACTGAGTTGGCCTCAGTTATTTCTCAAACTCAAGAAATTTCCAAAATACTTTCCATCATTTCCTCTGTGCCAGCTTTCTAATCAAAGTTACCAAGTTTAAACACTGTTGAATGCCATCACCGTGTCAGCAAGTTTTATTTACTTGGTTTTTTAGTTAAAAGGGAGAGTTCAATTGAGGAGAATGATATAATGGGAAATGACTATAATGGAAGAATACAAAATATTTTTTAAAAGAAAAAAGTGTGTGCTGACTTGGTTTGAAGGATCTTGTCAAACTGTTAGCAGACTTTTTCTACTGTATCCTCTGCAGTAGATACCAGTATATTAGTTGTGATTATCTTCATGGTGCCTTCTTGTCTATGATTTCCATGAGGACTACAGGTTAAGGTGACCATATATCCCATGAAATGATGCTTCTTGTTCTACAATAAGAACAACTCCACCAATTTCTTTGTTGTCTTTTCCAAGGCCAGCCTAGGAGCTAGCCTCCCAAATGGCTGCAACTTCCTTCAATCTTTTGGTTTTGTTTATCAAAAGGGTTATTACTGCTACTGTTTCGTTCTTTCTAAAGTATATCAATTCAATGGTCATTGAACAAAGATGTCACATTCAGAGTCTCTACAACTAAAGTAACGTTTATAGATCAACAAAAAAAATATTATGTTTTGCAGCCCCTTCTCACTTTTCCATAATTCTACCACCACTACTGGGGAAGCATACCATCAACAATTTCTCACCCAGAAACCAACCTACAAGTGTCTCTGGTCTTAGCTAAGTCAGTTCTTAGACAGCATACTCAAGACTGTCTCCAGGGCTGTGCTCAAAGTCTGAGCATGTGGAGTCTGCTAGAGCTTGTGCTCTACTGGCATAACCTGCAGGAACCCAGCGTCACTTTCATGCCACAAGGACACATCAGAAATAGGACAATAAAAAAGGGTCTGTTTAGTTTGGGTTTGAATTATGTTGGAGGGAAAAAGAATAGACAGAACCTTTGCTTGCTACAGGTGAGATGAGAATGGACTATGCAAAAGACAGAGAGAGAGAGGCGCATAAATATTCAACTCTAATTTTCTGTTTCATCTACCAAGAAGAATAATCTTCAGACTAAAAAACAAAATGAAAATACATCATAAAATTTGAAAACCAAGGTAACTGAGGAATTGGTACCTAGAAAGGAATTCTAATCACCTTGGCTGAACAGATTACATTCCACGGTAATGAAAGAACTTGCAGATCTAACTGCTAAACAATGGTGACCTTAAGAGAAAGTGAATGAAATAGGCTCCAAGCAACTAGAGGTGAGAAAATGTCCCAATTTTTAAAGAGAAGAAAAAGACAGATGCTCTAATTCATAGACTGGTAGGCTTGATATAAATTTCTGGTTAAAAACATTGGAGAACCCATTATTAAAGGGATGACCCACGTGTTCAAAAATATTTACAGCAGCCTTTTTTGTAGTGGTAAAGAATTGGAAACTGAAGGGCTATCCATCAATTGTGGAATGGTTGAAAAAGCTGTGTTATATAATTGTGATGGAATACTGTTGACTTGTAAGAAATGATGAAGGAGATGGTTTCAGAAAAACCTAGGAAGATTTGTATGAATTGACGCAGAGTGAAGTAAGCAGAACCAGAAGAACAATTTACATAGTAACAACAATACTGTAAAGATAATCAACTATGAAAGACTTAGTAACTCTGATCAATACAATAACCCACCACAATTCCAAAGGACTCATGATAAAACACGCTATCTACCTCCAGATGGACAGTTGACTCACTCAGACTACAGACTGAAGCATATTTTGTTCTTTTTCTTATTTTTTCCTGAACATGCTAATGCAGAAATTTATTTTGTAGGACTTCATATTTGTAATAAGTTTTTTATTTTTTGCCTCCTCAATGGACAGGGGAGGGTGCTGGGAAAGACAGGGAGTATGGAACTGAAAATAAAACTGAATTTAAAAAATAAAGGGATGGTTTTTGAACAGTTAGAGAAAAAGATGACACTATGAGCTTATTAAGTCATACCAATCTGACCGAATTTTCCTTTTTGATAGGGCCACTAGACTAGCAGATTGAGAAATACCATAGACACATTAGGTCTGGGTTGTAGCAAGGTATTTGAAAGATACTTCATAAAAATCTATGAAAAAGAAAGAGTGACATGTATTAAGTGATTTTTTTCAGGCTGCATTATCATTGATCTTTGAAGACTCTGGCTTATTCCATAACACATGGACCTTATGGTTGAGGATCTCCAAGTCAAAAAAAGAGGCAGTATTCAAAGTAAGATAATCAGATAAGCAAATTGTTTCAGCATAGTTCTTTATCACATTAATACAGCTGAAATAAGGCTAAGTGACTATACTCAAAGCAAGATTTGCCTTTACAAAAGGACCACCTATAAAAGTATGCAATATGAACAGTATAACACTTTTATATGATTAACACACCTTCTTACCAGGATCTTTTTAAAATCAGCAAACTGATAAACATACATATATACACATGTGAATATGATAAATATATACAGTATATATACACATGTACACATATGTATATATGAAATTGCTAACCAAAAAAAGGCATTTTTACTAACAATAATATCAAAAAGTATTACTCCATTCTTTTTTTCAGACATATATCCTTTTCATCCTTAAAAGCAGTCATTAATCATAACAAGAATCAGAAAAGCATAGAATGAAGGCTCCACCGGCTACCTGTGTTCTGCTGGAACAGGAGGAGGCCAAACCGCAGGATCTCGGAATGGTTCATCTTGATATGACACAGGAAATTCTGGGGGCTTGTCTATCTTAAAACTTTCTAAGGTATTGACAATACTCTTGACTTGTTCATATTCTTCTAGCAACTCCTGTCGAACCTTAAAAAAAAAAAAACAACATTTGTTTTATAAGACTTGATACGTGTTAAAATTTACAAAACTTCTAAAAGTGCAGTTCTATTAAGAGTTTTTTTTTTTGCAAAGGCTAAACAAGTGTAATAGAGTATTATTTTGTGTAAGAAATGAAGAAACAGGTAATTTAAAAGAGACATAGGAAGATCTGTATGAATTGACAGACTAAAGTAAGAACCAAAACAATTTATATTACAACATCAATATAAGAAAAACAGTTTTGAAGACTTTTGTTAACTGATGAGGAATGTAAAGAGCAGAACCAGGAAAATGGTTTACAAATAACTTTTAAAGCTGTAAAAACCTAAATCAATGCAATGACCCTCAATGATTTCAAATAACTGATGAAACTTTCTACCCACCTCCTGACAGAGAGGAAATGGACTCAGGGGTACAGAATAAGACATACTTTTTGAAACCACCCAATGAGAGAATTTATCTTGCTCTGCACATTTGTTACAAGGAATTTTTTCTTTTTTTCCCCCACAATAGGGTGGGGATAGGAAGGAGAGAGATCAGCTAAGTGGCACAGTGGATAGAGCACTAGCCCTAAAGTCAGGAGAACCTAAGTTCAAATTCAGCCTCAGATACTTACTAGGTGTATGGGCAAGTCATTTAGCCCTGTTTGCCTTAGTTCCTCATCTATAAAGTGAGCTGGAGAAGGAAATGGCAAACCAACCCAATTCTTTGCCAAGAAAACCCCAAATGGAGTCATGAAGAGTCAGACATGACTGAAACAACTCAACAAGGAGGGAGAGAAAAGATTTCTGTTAATTTAAAAAATAAAACTGCATTATATAAATCATTGTGACATATTCAAAAACCCTAGAAAATATTTTTGTCTCATTCAGACAACCAATATATCAAGATCTGTAATTTCCCAACTTTTCCCTAATTTAAGAGTTATCTTGAGCTCAAAAATATTGGTTCATTTTAAATTCTCCACTAGGCAACTGGTAGGCATCAAGAGGAAAGATTTTAAGCCCAGGTTTTCCTGACTCCAGTCCCACATTCTGATCATTATACTACCCCATCATGCTTCTCAGTTAAGATTGTAATCCACACAATTTCGATTAAATTTAAAAAGTTTTGCACAAACAAAGCCAATGCAACCAAGATTAGAAGAGAAACAGAAAGCAGGGAGACAATTTTTACAGCCAGTGTCTCTGATAAAGGCCACATTTCTAAAATATACAGATAATTGAATAAATACAAGCCACATCCCCCATTGATAAATGGTCAAAAGATACAAATATATATAGGCAGTTTTCAGATGAAGAAATTAAAGTTATCTATAGTCATATGAAAAAATGCTCTAAACCACTATTGACTAGAGAAATGCAAATTAAAACAACTCTGAGGTACCACCTCTTACCTCTCAGATTGGCTAACATGACAAAACAGGAAAATAAATGTTGCAGAAAATGTGGGAAAATTGGAACACTAATGCATTGTTAGGGATCAACCATTCTGGAGAGCAATTTGGAACTATGCCCAAAGGGCTATAAAAATGTGCATACCCTTTGACCCAGAAATACCACTACTAGATCTGTATCCCAAAGAGATCATAAAAAAAGGAAAAGGACGCACATGTACAAAAATATTTATAGCAGCTCTTTCTGTGGTGGCAAAGAATTGGAAATTGAGGAGATGGTTATCAAGTGGGGAATGGTTGAACAAGTTGTGGTACATGAACGTAATGGAATATATTGTTCTATAAGAAATAATGAGCAGGAAGATTTCAGAAAAACCTGGAAAGATTTACATGAACTGATGCTGAGTGAAGTGAGCAGAATCAGGAGAACATTATACACAATAACAGCAACATTGTGTGATGACCAACTTTGATAGACTTAGCTCTTCTTAGCAATGCAATGATCTAAGACAATTCCAAAATATTCATGATGGAAAATGCTATCCACATCCAGAGAAAAGACTGTGGAGTTTGAATGCAGATCAAAGCATACTATTTTCTTTTTGTTGTTGCTGTTGTTTTGTTGTTTCATCCTCGTGATTTTTCCCTTTTGTTTTGATTCTTCTTTCACAACATGACGAATGTGGAATAATATTTAATAAGATTGTATATGTATAACCTTATTGTCTTAGGGAGGGGGAAAGAGAGTGAGGGTGAGAAAATTTAGAACTCAAAATCTTATAAAAGTGAATGTTGAAAACTAAAATAAATAAAAGAAAAACACAAATTAATATTAAAATAAGATAGTAGTCCACAGAAACAGTTTAAAAATAAATCAAGATGAAAATAAACATTTATTCTCATCACTGATGAAAATAAAACATCAGTGAAACAAATTGTGCAACTTTGCAATGGGAGTCATATTGTAGTAATATACTTTGAATCATAAATTTAATGCCTCCACTACCTACCAAAGGATATAATAACCACTAATACACAACTCAACATAAAGTACAACTTAATATAAGTAAATAATTGAGCAGTGATAAACAATTTCCAGTGAAATAAGAAATTTGTTTTTAAAAACTTCGCAAACCTTTTAAATAAACTTTGTATGGAAAAAAAAATTTTGTTGACCCCAAATTTTAGCACTGTGAATTACATTTTCAATTTTTAATTTAATCTAACTTTATCTTTAATTGGGTCATTTCTTTTTTATTTAATATTTTATTTTTCCCAATTACATATAAAAACAATTTTTAACATCCATTTTTTAAAATTTTGAATTCCAAATTCTCTCCTTCCTTCTCCTTCCCCCTTACTGAGAAGGCAAGCAATTTGATATAGGTTACACATGTGCAGTCATGCAAAATATATTTCCATATTAGTCACATTATGAAAGAAAACACAGACCCCCCCCAAAAAAATAAAATTAGTTTTTTACATGCTTCAATCTGCTTTCAGACTCCATCAGTTCTTCTCTAAGTTGGATAGCATTTTTTCATCATAAGTCCTTCAAAATTGTCTTAAATCACTGTACTGCTAAGAATAGCTAAGTCATTCACAGTAGATCATCATAAAATAGTGCTGTTAAAAATGTTCTCCTGGTTCTGCTCATTTCATTTGCATCAGTTCATGTAAATCTTTCCAAGTTTTTCTGAGAGCATCCTATTTGTCATTTCTTATACTACAATAGTATTCCATCACAATCATATACCATAACTTGTTCAGTCCTTCTCCAACTGATGGACATTTCCTCAATTTCCAATTTTTTGCCACCATGCAAAGAAGCTGCTATAATTATTTTTGTTTTTTATCTTTTTGGGATACAGACCTGGCAGTGGTATTGCTGGGTCAAAAGGTATGCATGGTTCTACAGTTCTTTGGGAATAGTTCCAAATTGCTTTCCAGAATGGTTGAAGCAGTTCACAACTCCACCAATGGGGCAGTTGTGTCTCAGTGTTCCCATATCCTCCAACATCGGTCACTTTCTTTTTCTGTCATATTAGCCAATCTGATAAGTGTGTATGGTACCTTAATTGTTTTAATTTGCATTTCTCTAATTAACAGTGATTTCGAGCATTTTTTCATATTACTCTAGTTTTGATTACTTCATCTGAAAACTGCCTGTTCATATCCGTTGACCATTTATCAACTGGGGAATGGCTCTTATTTTACCATCTCCCCCAATCCATTCTTCCTTGTATTAGCACCCCACCTTTCTCTTATCTTCTTCCCCTCCTACTTTCCTGTAGGGTAATATACGATTTCTATACCCAACTGAGTATGTATGTTATTCTCTCTTTGATCTACATCCCCTTCTTTCCCTCTACGTAAAAGCTCTTTCACACCTCTTTTATGTGAGATAATTCATCACATTCTACTTCTCCCTCTCCCTTTCTCCCAATAAATTCCTCTTTCTCATCCCTTAATTTTATTTTTTTAGATAACATTCTATCATATTCAGCTCACATCCATGCCCCTCTGTCTATGTAACTCATTTTAATTACCATCATGATGATAATAAAGTTCTTAGGAGTTACATGTATCACCTTCCCATAGAAACCCTGAAGGTCTTCCCCTCCCAGATAGATTTTTTTTTTTTGAGTAGTCAAACTAGGCCATCTTTTGCATCATTTCTTACCTAGCCTTAATTCACTGAATGGGTGTTGCCTCAGACAAACTGACTCCTGGGAAAAACCTTAGCTTAAAAAGGCCAAGGTCTCCCACTTTCCTGATGTCATTGGTCCTCTTTGAGAACAAAGGACAATTAACAACAGCAATAGAAATGTAAATGGTTTAACTCAAGAGCTGGAATCTGTAGCCTGAACTTTAACCTTATTAAATTCTTATGATTTATCTTTCCTGTTTACCTTTTTATCCTTCTCTAGAGTCTTGTATCTAAAACTCAAATTTTCTATTCAGAAGGGGTAGCTAGGTGGCACAATGGATAGAGCACTGGCCCTGAAGTCAGGAAGATCTGAGTTCAAATCCAGCCTCAGACCAAACACTTGACACTTACTAGCTGTGTGACCCTAGGCAAGTCATTTAACCCCAACTGCCTTAAAAAAAAAATTCTATTCAGCTCTGGTCTTTTCATCATATATGCTTGAAAGTCCCCTATTTCATTAAATATCAATTCTTTCAATACTGAAGATTTATATTCATTTTTGCTGGGTTGGTTATTCTTGGTTGTAATCCTAGTTCTTTTGCCCTCTAGAATATCATATTGCAAGCCCTTTAATGTAGAAGCTGCTAAATCTTACGTTATTCTGACTGTGGCTTCATGATGTTTGAATTATTTCATTCTGGCTGCTTGCAATATTTTCTCCTTGACCTAGGAGCTCTGGAATTTGGCTGTAAAATTCCTAGGAATTTTCTTTTTGGGATCTCTATCAGGAGGTGATAGGTAGATTCTTTCAATTTCTACTTTACTCTCTGGACCTAAGATATTGGGGCAGTTTTCCTTCATGATTTCTTGAAAGATAATGTCTAGGCTCCTTTTTTTTTATTATGGCTTTCAGGTAGTCCAATAATTCTTAAATTATCACTC